CACTTGTCAAGTGTCTTATTCTAATTTCAAGGCATCACCCTCTCCTCAAGGAATGTGTGGTGCAGGGTACTGGATCTCCAGGAAGGGACATCTTTTTCTAATTTGCACAAAGGTGTTGCCTGAGTTAGCCTCTATACTGAAGCCAGCTGTGGATAAGGAGTTGCACTGCTAACTCAAAGGCAGGAAGTTCAAATCCACCAGTTGCTCCTCAGCAGAAAGATGAGCAATCTCTGCCCAAGTGATTTACAGCCTCTACAAACTGGTTGGAGGGTCAGCTATTAGTCAGTTCTAATTTGGCAGTAATAAATTAGTCATTTTATGAGGTTGAGACACTTGACAGAGGCCCCACAGTAAGAAATAGGTAGAAATGGAGCATGAGTTTCTAAGATGGGTTCCAAAGGTCCAGGGAACATTTGACAAATTTGAGGTGTTGAAGTCAACACCCATACTTGTGGCCTGTTTTGCAAAGGTGAAAGATGGCACTTTGAACCCACAAGACACTTGGCAGAGGAGAGTGGCCATGTCAGAGCAAACAGTTGGATATCAGCTGAGCCAGACTTGTTCCTTCAGTAACTCCATGAACATAAAGAACACAATACACAATAGTGATGTGTCTGGCACACACTAACTGGTTTATGCAAATGTTCTTTTCTTCATGCGTAATTGTCCACAAGGGCAAGGCTTTCTGCTTTGTTAACAGACATGCATCCAGTGCATAAAGAGAGCTCAGCACGTTGTGGTTGTTAGGTGCCATCGAGTTGGCCATGGCCTAAAACAGATGCGAACCTTATCTATCCTGTACCATCTTCACCATCTCTGACAAGCCTAGGGTTACAGCCAGGATGCAATCCATCCTGTTGAGGGCTTTCCTCTTCCGCTGATCCTCTACATTTCCCAGCATGATCCATCTTTCTAAGGACTAGCCCCTCCTAACAACATGCCCCTCCCCTCCTAACAACATGCCTCTCCTATCTGAGACCCAGTTTCACTGTCCTGCCTCTAAGAAGCTACATGGTTGCACTTCCTCCAAGACAGACTCTTTGTTCTTTCGACCATCCACGGGATAGTCAGTACTCTTCTCCAATACTGCAGTTCAATGGCATCCGTTTTCTTTCTGTCATGCTTACTCATTGTTCAACATTCACACGCATAGGAAACCATTGGATTAGGCACCTTAGTCTTTAAACCAGTGTCATTGCTCTTTAGTGCTTTGAAGAGGTCCTCGACAGCAGGTTTTTCCAGTGCAGCATGTTCTTTTATTCCTTGCCTGCAGTTACCATGCGTGTTGATTGTGACACTAAATGTTTGCTGGGTGAAAAATTAATTGCTCATAACAACCTAAACAAAATCAGACCTATTACTTCTAGTTTATAAATGAGGAAACCGGGCAAGGAAGTCAACTAATTTGTGTGAGGCTCTACTGAGACCACAAATAAGCTGTCCCTGTGCTGTGGTGATTCTGGAAAATTCCAACAGAAGCCCAAACATCAACTCTGGAGGCACCAGTTCTTCTCCAAGACTGCCCACTGTGTCCACTGCTCCAGAGCGTCTGCTGGGTGCTGGGCTGCATCTTCTAGTTACTGACATGTCTTCTTCCATCAGAATCCAACTGGGACCTTACATGATGCCCCACACCCGATACATCAGTGTTCCCAGCACCAAATCTGTGTGCCAGCTATGTTTTCTACAGTGATCCCAGTATCTCCCTCACTCTTTCCAGCCACCAACCCCCCAGTGTCCAGTACCACCAGATGGTAGCACACAAGAATTAAGTTCTGACTCAATGGAACATGACAGCATAGCAGAGACTTTCCTGACATTTCATAGAAACAGCCAAACAATTAGAGCTCTTTTATGTCAGCTTTCAACTACTTAACATAGTGTCTTTAAGATTCTTTCATATTGCAGTATGTATTAGCATTTCATGCCTTTTAATACTGAGTAGTCTTCCACTGTATGGATAGCTCACATTTGTCACGAGCTGATGGACCACTAGTTGGTCTATCTTCTGTTATTGTGTTGTTGTTTGGCTATTATAATAATACTGTGGTGAATATTTCTTTATAGAAAACATATGTTTTAATTTCATTTTTAATCTCTTGAATAGCTAAAGTTGAATAGTTGGGTCTCACAGTAAATTTATGGTTAACTTAATAAGAAATAGCTGAGCTGTTTTCCAGGGCAATTGAGACATTTTACATTGTCATCAGCGATGTATCAGGCTTATATTTCGTCTCACATTCTCATCACCACTGGCTGCTGTCATATTTCTTGCAATCAACCATTCTACTGGGTATGAAATGGCACCCCATTGTGCTCCATCGATAGTTGTGTGAGTAAGTAAATGATCTTGGATCCTAGACACAACAAATCTGCAAGAGTGCACTCCAGGGATGTGTCCTTTCTCCACACCTTTTCAATCTATATGCAGAACAGATTATCCAGGAGGCTGGGCTTTAAGTCAGGATTGGAGGAAGACTCATCAACAGCTTGTGTTATGCAGATGACACAATCACAATTGTGCTTGCGGAAACTGAGGAGGACCTGAGGCGCTTGCTGCAGAAGGTCAAGGACTGCAGCCTTCAATATGGACTGAAGCTCAACATCAAGAAAACAAAGATTCTCACCACTGGGACAGTTGGCAGTATCATTATGGATGGTGAAGAGATTGAGACTGTTAATAGCTTCAGTTTGCTTGTTTCCACTCTTGGTACCAGCAGCCAGGAAACCAAAAGATGAATTGCACTGGGAAAGTCAGTTGTCAGGGATCTCTCCAGAGTACTGAAGAGCAATGATGTCAGTCTGGAGACTAAGGTGTGCCTGATCCAGACCACAGTCTTCATTATTATGTGCTATGCATCAGAAAACTGGACAATGACTAGAAATGATGGAAGGATACCTTTGGGCTGTGGCGCTGGAGGAGAGTATTGAATGTATTACAGACTGTCAGGAGAAGAAATAGATTCATTCTGGAAAGGGTGAACCCAGACTGCTCCTTGGAGACAAGGAAGCTTTGTCTGACATACTTTGGGCATGTAGCAAGGAGTGACCAGTCCTTGGAGAGGGACATCATGCTTGGAAGGGTGGAGGGACAGTGCAAGACAGGAATACCCTGGATGAGATGGATTGATTCAGTGACTAGGGTAATGGGGCTAGGTGTGTCAGAAACAGTATGATTGGTTCAAGATAGAGCAGAATTCAGAGCTGTTGTACATAGGGTACAACAACAATAGACACAACTTGAAGTTGAGTTCTGGTAACAATAATAACAGTGATCCTAACTTTGGCAAGTCATTTCTCTACTATGAGACTCAAGAGTTTCACAACGTGGGGGTGGAGAGAGTGAGTGAAGGAATTAGGAAAGATCCAGTGGGAACCTGAAAAGATAGGGCATAAAAGAAGTGGACATAGAACAATGGTGATTAATTTTATAAAACATAATGTATGAATGATCATATGAAACACAATGCGAATGAAGGAATGTGTGATACACGATGTATATAAATGAACATCATGTATATGAATTTTATATGAAAACCAATATAAAATTTTTAAAGTTGGAAAAAGAAAAAGAAATAATTTCACAATCTAATGATAAGACCCTAACAAGCAGAGTGGTAGAAATTAAACAACTAAAAAGAGTTAGTCAATGAAAAAGAAGACCCTCAATAAGCTGGACTGACACAGTGACAGCCGCAGTGGATTTGAGCATGGTGGGGATCAGGACCATGGCGCAGGAGTGGGGAGGGGCCTTTCTGTAGTCTTTGGGTTGTTGTGAGTGGTAGTTGACTCGACGGCTCCTAACAACAACAACAACATCAAAAGAGAGCTGCTAAGCATCACCACTACCATTAGTAGTTGTCATCATCATAGTAGTTGTGGTTGTCATCGTCATCATCATCATCACCATCTTCAACTGACTCAGAGCTAAATCTTCTGTGGGTTTTCAGAGGCTGTAAAGCCCCAAGGGAAGAGATTGCTCGTACTTTCCCTGAGAAACAGTCGATGGGTTCAAACTACAGCACTTTGAGTTGAGAGAACAGCTCCTTCCCCACTAGGCCACCAGAGTCCCGATTAGTAAGAGTGGTAGTCATAATAGTGGTATTATCACTCTAGAGAAAAGCCCACACAAGTGACTGGGACAATGGCAGCCAACATCTGTTGAGAGCTCACCACACACCAGGCTTTGCTCTAAGCCTTTTATTTATGTGTAGTAAGCTTTAATCTAGACAACACTCTTATGTGATTGGTGCTGTCTCATCGCAGGAAATGGAGACACAGACAGTTGAAGTCACTGGGTCCTGATCACAACGTTAGTAAGCGACTGAGCCAACATTGAACCCAGACCTTCTGGCTCCAGGACCCATGATCTTGGCATCCCTGCATTACATTTCCTTGTCCTTACAAGGCAAGCTAGATGAACTACTGCTCCAGAGAGCAGAGAAAATTCCAGTGGGGGATTGGGAAGGAGAAAGGAAGTGTGTCTGGTGTGGTGCGGCCTTCAATCTGCTGCTTCCCCACGAGCAGAGCAGCACACAGTTGTGGAATTTGCTCCTCTTTGCATACAACACAGCTCTGCTACAGCTATTGAAGGCATCTTTTGTGCTGCTGCTCCGCAGCGGGTGACGTCACAGGCACTGCCAGGCCTTTATCTGTCTGCCAGATATCTAGCTAACCACACTTGTTCTGGAGGAGACAGCAAGGTGCTGCACACAGAGCACTGGGTTCTGGAACAAGCAGGTGAGCATGGGGCCCAGAGGAGCTGAGTGGAGGAGCAGCTGGGTGGTCAGGGCCAGCACCTGGGTGGGCTCTCTGCTGAGAAAAGGGACAGGAGACAAAGATTGATCAGCCAACCAGACGGAAAAGCAGTTTGGATTCTTTTGGGAAGTTGTGGGTGCAACGTTCCCTGCTGACAGCTGAGGTGCAGCTGGCCAGGGCTGGGAAGGTCTCCACCATATAAACACCTTTCTCTCTCTCTCTTTCTGCTAGTGGCCTCCACCATGGGCACAAACACAGACCAGTCCTTCTTCCTTGGCAACCACTGGCTCTACTTCTCTGTGTACCTCTTCGCCTTCCTCGTGGGGCTCCCCCTCAACCTGGTGGCCCTGGTGATCTTCGTGGGCAAGCTGCGTCGCCGCCCAGTGGCCGTGGACGTGCTCCTGCTCAACCTGACCGCCTCGGACCTGCTTCTGCTGCTCTTCCTGCCATTCCGCATGGTGGAGGCCGCCAATGGCATGTACTGGCTTCTGCCTTTCTTGTTCTGCCCTTTCTCGGGCTTCCTTTTCTTCACTACCATCTATCTCACCTCCCTCTTCCTGGCCGCAGTGAGTATAGAGCGTTTCCTGAGCGTGGCCTACCCTCTGTGGTACAAGAACCGGCCGAGGCTGGCACAGGCCTGTGTTGTCAGCGCAGTCTGCTGGCTCCTGGCCGCTGGCCACTGCAGTGTGGTCTACGTCACTGAACTCTCTTCAAACTCCTCTCAAAGTGCCCATGAGACCTGCTACATGGAGTTCGAAGAACACCAGCTGTCCATTCTCTTACCTGTCCGGCTGGAGATGGCTGTGGTCCTTTTTGGGGTGCCCCTGCTTATTACCAGCTACTGCTACAGTCGCCTGGTGTGGATCCTGAGCAGAAGTGCCAGCCGTTACCGGCAGAGGAGAGTGGCAGGGCTTGTGGGGGCCACGCTTATCAACTTCATCGTCTGCTTTGGGCCCTACAATGTGTCCCACGTGGTGGGCTTTGTCCAGGGTCAAAGCCCCAGGTGGAGAAGCTATGTGCTGCTCCTCAGCACCTTGAATTCCTGCATCGACCCCCTTGTCTACTACTTCTCATCATCTGGGTTCCAAGCCGACTTTCATGTGTTGCTGAGGAGGTTGGCAGGGCCCTGGAGTGTCTGCAGGAAGGAGGGTGATGTGAAAGTAAAGGCGATGCAGAAATGTGCGGGGCAGCTGCAGGAGCTGTCCAAGACAGAAAATAGGTAGTGGATGGTGAGGGCTGGGACACCAGGCAGCCAGATGGCCTGAGCTGAGAGCTGGGTGCCCTTGAAGGGTGGAGGAGGAAATAGAGTTTATGGACCATCCTTGCCCTAGCATAGCTCATATTTCAAGCCAAGCAGGACCTTGAGTAGCTGTGTAGGAACATGTGGCTTTCTCGGGACGAGCTCACCAAAGCCCTGGATTTCACCACCTGCTTTCTGTCTTGTCCTTTCACACGCTACTGATTCAGTCCTGGGAAGTAACATTACGTTTCCGGAGGGCAAAGAAGGAGTTGAGAGGAGGGTGCAGAGTTGAAGGGAGCTGCCCAGGGGTTTGGGAAAGCTCACCCCTCCAAGCTGCTCCTATTCTGGCAGGTTAGGGTGAGAGGGCTGGTAGCTGCCGCAGGATTCCAGATGTGAGGGAGTGTCTTGCTCTCATGTGTGCTTTTCTGAGATGTTTATGCTGTTCAGTCAATTCAGATCTTCAAGGATGTGTGTGCAAAGTGATGAAAGAAAGATTGCTTAAATAAATTTGATAGTCAGCAAAAATGTGGTCTTTCCAGATTCTCTTGGTTTTTCTCATGGTGCATGTGGCGTAGGTGGAATGAATGGATGAGGTGGCAAAACAACTCCATTTTGAAGGGAAAAGACTAAATTACTTGAAAAAAAAAAGACTAAATTACAAGCTTGCTTAACAACAACAACAAAACCCCACCCCAAACCAAAACCAACAAAAGACTCATTGCTGCTGAGCCAGAATCAACTCATAGCTGGCCCTCCACTGAGTTACCTAAAGTAAATCTCCAAAAAGAAAAAAAAAGCAATAACAAAAAATCCAACTCAATTCACTGCCGTAGAGTTGGAGCCAACTCATAACTGACCCTCCATTGGGCTCCCAAGGTTGAAACGACAAGGAAGTGGATTGGTAATTTTTTCTTCCAAGAAGCAACTGGTGGATTCGAACCATTAAAATGATGTGATCTTTGGGTTAGCAGTGTAACTTCATACCACCAGAGCTAAGATGGTGTAGATCCTGGGAAAGGAGCTGGGTTGGAGGCATTATGACAATATCTAACTTCTCTTAAGCTCTTAGCCTGCCCTGGTGACTTGTCCATTTTCAGTAACCACACAAGTGGCTATTATAATTATCTTCCTTTTGCAGAGGCATAAATGAGCACAGAGCTGTGGAGTCTGTGCTGGAGATCTCATCGTTGATAAATAAAGGAAGAAGGATAGAAGCTGAAATTATCCACCTCTAAAACTCATGTTCCTCTCAACTGCTGTTCTGTCTTCAACTCTGTAGAATTCCCGCAGACTGATCTGGACCCAGAAGCCAGTAGAAGCAATCTTACCCAGACATGAATGTAAACAGTGTATGAGGAGAAGTATATATAAGTGTGTGTGTTTGTGTATACACAATGCAGATAGACTGCCTGGGTTGGTATATCCACTTCCCAGTCTGAAAACAAAATAAAACAACTCAATTATCTTGAAAAGATTAACTCGACAATTAGCACAGTTGATCTGTATCTTCTTAGGAATTATGTGGTTGTTTAGTTGGAATTGACTCAGTGGCAACAGGTTTGTTTTTTGGTCATTTAGTAAGTTTGCATTTTCCCACTGTGGGTTGGTACCTGAGAAATAGTTGATCAAGGCTCCCAAGCAGAAAGCTGTTTCTGCACTTAATTGTCTCCAGTCAATTTTATTTCAAAAACATTTATCAAGCACCTATTATGTAGAGTTGGCTGAACTAAAATCTGAGATTTCAGAAACCTGTGGATTTCTTGAAGATCTAGTCTCTTCTTAAATTAGGCTACTGAACGCAAGGATAGGGACAGAAATACCGTCTCCATGGAGAGAGGAAGGTGCGAGTTGTCTCTTTATGCCATTGCTCATCTGCCTATTCCAAGGCACAGCACCACCCAGGAAACTGGAAGGAAGGTCATGCTAGCCTGGGCCTACACAGCTCAGAAAGGCAACAAGTATAATGTCAATAAGGTGTTGTACGGAACTTTCCAGAATTGGCAACAAGGACTCAAAGCTGAGGACAAAGAGGAGTTGAAAATCCCATATTCTAAAGGTTTACACACAGAAAGAATCAATGTTGAAGGGAAAATAGGAGTAGGAAGGGATGGTAGAGGGATTAAACAGCAATAAATAGATAAGTTGTGTGAAAGGAAAGACAATATACAATAAGAATGATTCAATATTATAATGAATTAATCATGTAAAGCGATGGCAATTAATGTTTAAGACAAAATATCTATGAATTCTATGGTTGTATAAAAAACCAGTGTGATTTGTAAATGTCAGTAAAATTTAAGAATAGTAAATGAAAAGTAAAGAAACTACACACAACAGTTTATTACAATGAACACATCTATGTTTCTACAATGTTAAAATGAATAAATGGCAACTTAATTGCCTTTTCTTGTCCCAACTGCCAGCACCAAGCCTACCCTGCTGTATAAGAGCAGATACTAAAGATGAGGTTAGGAGTATGGGAAATCATCAGAAGTTGGAGCAGTCATCTGGGCGATAGTGAATTATAATCTTTACATATCTCTTGGAACTTAAGGGAAAGGGTATCTTAGAGAAAGAATGTGCTTATAAGAAGAGCAAGTACATTTCTATGACTTCTTGCCCGGTGCCTGTGATTTTAGGTCAACTATATTGTTATCTTCACTTACTCTCCAATGGCGGTTGTATCTTTATTCAACATCTAGGCAGAGGGAAGAACAGCAGAGAGATGGGCAGAGGGGGTGTCAGTGAAAGTAACAGACTCCTCTCTCACTGTTGGCAAAACAAGCAAGGACTGTCTAACGAGTAGGGGACAAAGGCAAAGGTGGAAGTTCTGGGATGCTGGAAGAGGGCAAACCAGGATCAGAGATTCAATTGCAAAACAGTTAGAACTTGGACACCTGACAGAGATGCCAAAAGTCACTCACTATTAACTCAAGCACTATAGCTCAAGACTTTACAAAAATTACTCCCCCCCTCAATGAAGCTTTTCCCTTTTTTCTTATTCACCACTCCCCATTCCAACTGAGGGAATTTTAACATCACATATATGCTGGATGTATTGGTGCATTGTGATTCTTTGGAGTGTCATATTGCCCCCACTGTAAATGCATGAACTAAGGAAATAGTCTTAGCCAATAGAGTAATAAGGTTGTTTCATACTGCTGCACCTCAACAGTCAGGGTTATAATCTTGCTGCAGCAAATGAGAACACTCATAAATAGAGGAAGCATGGAAGTATCTCATAAAGTTTATTACAGGACTTGGGATAAGGATGAAGTTCATGTGAAATGGAAATGAAGCACTGTTTCATAAGCGCAAAGCAAAACAGGGACATGTGTAAAGAGGAAAAAAAATCACACTGAGCTGAGAAGTAGACTCTGGGTCCTATATTGGGGGTGGGAAGAATGACAAAGTAAAAAGTAAAAAAAAAAATCTGTCTGGAAACTCTTTATCTGAGGTTCTGGAATGGAAGTCAAAACTGTCTCTGTGTCACAGTAGCTGAGGTCCCTCAAACAGGAGTGGAGTGTTCCACCCTCATTTATGATCATGCTTCCAAATATTCAAGCTTCTGACAGCCTGTAATATTAGGGTGTTTTATACCAGCATTATATAATGTTGCTAAAATAAAGAGAAATATTTTTAGAAGAGTTTTCAGAGGACCTTGGGAAGAACGAAAAAACGAAATTATGACTATAAAGTAGAAAGAAGTTCCTTTTCACTTCCAGAAGGAAAAAAATCTTCTCTCATTAAAACATGAGGCAACACAATTTCAAAGGATGAGAGAAAGAGTAGACCTAACCCACTTCTGTCTTAGCTTCCCAGAATCAAGTCAAGTTCAAGATCACAGGGAAATGGAAAGAAGAAGAAAAATTTTAAACCCCTAACTATGACCAGAAACCTAGAGAAGCTACCTAAGATTTTACTAAGAAACTGAGGTTCCATACAGTGTGATGATGCAAGATTGACTCAGGAAACCACTACTTGATGACCCAGAGCTGATTAGCACATCAGTGTCAGTAAGAGGAGGGCAGAGGTGGCTGGAAAAATGGGAGCAGGAAATGACCTAGCGGGGAAGATAGGTTGACTCCAAGCATTTCCTTCAGTTTTATACATGATGCCTTAGCATGTGGCCTCTCAATGTTTTTATCTTCCTGGTAGGTCAAGGGAAGTTGTATGCAAAACAAGAGATAGTCTGCTTCCACAGGATTCTGGCAAAGAATTAAAAACTAGACCAAGCCCAAACCCAAGCCTGGAAATCAGCAGAATTAATTGTAACAATCATCCAAAGGGAGAAAGCAGAGTATCAACAAAAATAGACAGTTAAAAGAAGTGTCAGAGCAGAGATCCTGGAAAAAGGAGAATTAATTATTAGTGGAACATAGAATTGAGAGGAAGAGGGGCCAAAGGGAACAAAACAGTGTGAGAAGATGCTTAACTTTTGACCTATCTCTCTCTGACAAATTACTCCCTCTGGTTTAAAAGAAAGGAAAGGAAATGTCCCAAGAGGTACAGGTAGTTGAGACCACTAAGACTTTGCAACATCTGTGAGAAACTTGTTGACTTCCTTTTAAAGCCAGTTCTGAAAGGAATCCATGTGGAGATAGATCAAGGCATCAAGACGGTGATCTGCATTCTATGAAAGAAATACTGTGATCACGTACCAGGTTGGGCTGGAAAGGATGAAACTTTGATAATACTAGGAGGACAGAGGTTGGGGCCCAGAGTTGACCCTTCATGGCAATGTGAAGCCAGGAGAAAGAATACATATCAGAAAGAAAAATGAGGTACCAAAATATCTTTTAATGGAAGTTACTTTGGAAATTAACAGAGTCAAGCAGACAGAAGAGGACACTCTCAACAAGTAATTGTCACTACCCATGGCTGATCCCACACAGTCAACACTCTTGTTAACAGCAGCCAGGAAATCAGGAGACGAATTGAATTGGGAAAGTCAGCTGTGAGGGACCTCTCAAGAGTACTGAA